ATGTTTATGACTTTCTCTGTTTGATTCTTAAGCTTCTTTTCCTGTACTCACTGAGAAATATTAACCAAGACAGCTTAATTTAAGTAGGATCCTGGAGTAGAGGGTCTTCTGAAGTAACCTTGAAATTTGTCAATCACTTTCAGATAATCAGGAAACAAAGATTTCCAATGAACTGTTTGTAGGATTTAATTTGTCCTACAGATGTAATTCTAGAACAGTAAACGCAATACTGGCGAGCACAGAGTCTATGAGAAAGCTATAGTCAGAATAAGGTCAACTTGGTTTTAAACTTTATCTGTTTCTAAACATAAAAACAATTACATTAGTACAATAGGTAAGGAAATTACAATTATCAAGTTAGACGATCAAACGTACCGACCAGTATAGCGTGTCTTATGGAAATAACTAAAGTTATGAGTCATATCAATATAATAAGATATTAATGTCCTTCAATTATTAGGTCATTTACAACGAAGGTTTACAGACCGGTCAGACTTGATAACGTGGTGAGCGCTTAAACCACAATCTGATTGGTTAGTTATCATCACATAACTACAATTAGTTATGGAAATAACTAAAACTGTTTACGATACGAAATGAAGTTTTTTCACTTCAAAGGAATCTTTTACTATTACTTGTCATCCATTCAGTTTTGAATTCAAATTCATTGAAAAAAATTCATGATTATCACAGTGAATCAAACATCTTTCTTTGAAGTAATTTTATATGATTTTAGGAACAGTTGAATAAATGAATTATCTAGCCATCTAGCTGTTTTTCCTTCCCATGTTTCACTTATTAGTGTTACAAATTTTCAAACAACTTTTCCGGCATTAACAAAGGATAATTATGGTTTTAGTGGACTATTTTGAGATATTTATCAATACAGCTGCAGTTATAACATGCATCTCCACTATCCAATGCATGACCAACAAATAACATTGACTTAGTCAATGTTACATTAGAACGACAGAACAAAAAGGGAACATTTCGGACTGACTCACTACTCCAATAATTGCAATCTTTTGATTATTTAAATTTTATTCACATTCACAAATGAATGCTTTCTTTGACAATCCAACATTCGATGAATAATTATCTTCTCCATTTAAATTAAGCGCGATTGATCAATAGTCAAAAATCCTAGATTAATGATGTGACTTTGAATTCACCTTCCCCCAGTATTGATTAGTACAGCATCATACTTAAACTTTCAATACTAGGATCTCATTACATTGTAGTGATTGTACTTTTACAAAGCAAAACACGATTGGTTAAATTAGCAACATTGATTATGATAACCAATTGTGCCGATGAACGTTTTGCCGAACATTTGTTTATGCATACTTTTGTAACGCACCCCACTCCTCTTTGGAGGCTACCATCTTGCTCTGGCTGCTCTGTAACTTTGCCCAATTTCTCTGGCACGATTTCGATATTCTTTCGATACAACGAAATCGCCAGTAAATATACCTATTTCATCTAATCAACACCGTCCTCTTTTTTTCCTGATAAACGATTTCAGATAACATTTGGGACCCAAACTTTATTGGTTTATAGACGTGTTCACGGTCTTTCGACTCGAACATCTACAACATATGAATAAGAATCATTAACACGCTGACTAAGAAGCAAAGCTAAGGTGATTATGATGAAGATGCATTCTCTAAGCTGGATGGTTTGGTTCTGAAGCCATTCATTGTTCTTTTGAACAACATCATCAGCATAAACTCCGGGCAGATAGAAAGTGAAGTATTCGAATTTCTACACATATGGCTCATAGCTTGTCCTGTTGGCCTAGAGCGACTTTTAACCTGCCAATGTCTGCCTCTTTATTTCGACTATATCCCCTCATTGATATGGTTATTGATCCTATACTTATCTACAATTTTTCTGATTGGTTGATAAATCAGATCAATGTCGATGTGTTTGTTGAGTGCCGTGTAGTGGAACTACTTTGTGAAGAAAACATGATTACTGACGTATAAATACTTATTATTGAACATATGTAACAATAACTGTTTTATTGTACACCTTTTGTTTATCTGTACTTGAAGTCATTATTCGAGCGCCACCCACGCCAACCTTGTGGACCTATTGATCGTTTCGTGCCAACGTTAATTGTACTGGCTGAACACGTGATATTATTTCGATATCACGCGACCTCCTATCAATAAATATCAATATCCTATAAACTATCTTCTGTTCTGGAATACGTTTTGGCGTTTAAACTTCGCAACCCCCACAGCCGATTGATCTAAGCTACAAATATTTTCTCCATCATCTCACAAGCTAAAATACAATTAGAACTAGTTTTCTGAAACGACTTCCATTATTACCGTCATAGTTTCAAAACAATTGTCAGCATAATTCAATTTCAGTAAGGAAACGTGTTGGGTATGTTAGATTCCCAGAACTCACTTGATAAATGCCCTGATTTTGGATTACACGTTTGCGAGCAAGGGCCGATCAGTTGACCTTGAGATTTCATTTCCCACTAGGAAAATCCATGGCTGTGATTGGCTGCTGTTTATTTTAGTGTGATATTTTTGTGACTGTCCAAAGGACGTTTCTATGATGTATAAATAAACGAGATTTGTGTGCTTGATTTCATTGTGTGCTGGCTGGGTGTTTGTAGAATATACTTTCTACGCTATATCATGACTTTTCATTAGTCAACGGATCAGGGTAGCCTACCTGGACGCTGGTTCATAGTCTCGTTCGCGTTTATCGACTAAGGTGAATCCGCCTAATAGCTTCAAGCGTACCTAGTGACGAACCTAACAAGTGGCGACGAGGATGGGATAACACTAAGATACTCGACAGTTCTCCTTTCCTACTGATATATCAATATTTTTACCTTATATACAAACTAAATCCCCAGTCCCATCAAATAATTTCAACCGGGGGACAGAATAAAAATTTCAGAAATAAAAGAATCATGAATTTATGCAAGTAATAATCTTTTATTTTTGTTTGAAAAATATATATATAATCAACACAATGTGTTCCTTTTTTTGTTCAAATTTTCGACAGGGAAAAAAAAGACGAGGAGAGACACAGACAAAACAAACACCCTACACACACACTACACACATCGCACAGTCAAATTTCCCACCAATTTTTTTTTAAAAACATCTCATACTGTCCAATTTTACTTATTATGTTCAAATTTCAATTATATTAATAAACAAGAACAAAATCAACAATGGAGTTCAATGAAAATATAAACACAAATATGTGAAAATATGTATATGTATAGATAGATATAAAAGAGATTGGGATGAGAATTACAAAAGGATGATGTACTGTGCTGTGTGTGCGTACTCACACACACACACACAGTACATACATGCAAATAATATGTTTGTTTTTTCAAAAAAAACACAAATACACCCTTTTGAATCAAGTCAGTTCACTACTCTCACCTAAGCACAAGAACGAACAGTCACAACAACAACGACGCGAACACAGTGACAACAATGAAAAAACACATTTCACAATAGAATAATCACAGAATTTCATGTACAACTGGAAATATTTAGCAAATTGTGCCTTCTACTACTTCTTCTGTCTGATATTCTCAAAATCCCACTAACTAATTATAATTACGTTAGATAGAAAATCAGTAAAAAACCAGTGCTGTACAAACAATAAACGGTATATTCAAAAAATGACTTGAATAAATCTGTATACACACAATTATGGATTCTAGGGATAGTCAGTCAGTCAGTTAGTCCGTCAAGAACACACTCTAAATCTTAACTCAGTAGCGTGATTACTATTAGAAAAAGTAATAATAGTTGAAGAGAAGTACACATGTCAGTAGAGTACAGGAATAGATGAATTTATCACATAACACACTAACTAAATCATGATACATCTCCTCCTCATCATCAACACACACACACGCACACACGTTTAATAAATCCTTTACATAACCAACAATAAATCAAAAATTCTAGAGAGAATGTTTTTGAAAAAAATGAAAGGGGAAATTAATTTCTAGTTTAAGAAAAACAGAAAAACAAGTCGTAAGAGTAGTAGTAATAGCAGTAGTTGTTTGTGGAAGATAGACCGCCAACTAATAATGCAACACATGTGTTTTGCTTTTGTCAGTGGGGGAAAAAAAGGGGGAGAAGAAGGAAATAACCACCGGTGACGCGGGGGGGGGGGAATAATTCGCTCAATGTTCTTCTCCTCCTCCTCTTCTGGATGAACTAAAGAAAGATTCTGTTATGTAATGTTTTTCTTCGCTGTGAAAAGGCGTCAATCATACAACAGTCATTGTCTTCTTTCTATTATTGAAGATTGTGGAAGACAATGAATTATTGGGAAGGAAAATCAACAACACGAAGAACAGTACAAACACATCATAATCACGATGGTGATAACGATTCTTGTCTCCGAGAGTGAGGTGTAGAGAAAGAAATCATGTTGATTGTTAACACAGGATCCATAAATCAACCGTAAATAATCAAGTACACAAATGATCATCAATGGAAGTTTTTGTTTAAATTTGCATCAAATTTGGTTTGTTTTAATTGATAAGATAAAAAAAACCAAACAGAAGAACAATCGAGATTTACTTTTGTACACTCACACACACGTAGACAAATAGTTGAATCAGTAGTGAACTAGTGTTCCACAGTTGAAAATGGCTCCTCCCCCTCCTCCTCCTCTGTCATACTCTTCTTGACAAACTGAAGAGAGATTAGTATTACTGATAAATTCATATGACTATTGTTTACAGGATAGTCAGTCAGTCAGTCATTAGTTTGTATGATAAAAATCTATATTGAAATGAATTCCCTGTTCTTCAATATTGGAGAGAAAGTAATGGGCAAATATACAATACATGAATATTTCTAAATCTATACACACAGATATTCTTATCATTCTACTATAGCAAGTAGCTGTGTTGGTGCGGTGTTACGCACTGAAGAATGATTTCTGCACGCACACACACACACACACACAAAATGAATGAATCAATGAATGGTCGTGATTGGTGTTGGGGTTTGTTTATAAACAGACTGAATAAAATGATACAGGAGGATGAGATAATTTATGTTCAGAAATCAGTGTATAATCATCATCACTGCTGCCACATTCATTTCCATCAGCAGCAGCAGCGGCAACACCAGATTCGGTCGATGTCGGTGTTAGTGGTGTTGTAGGTGTGGTTGTTGTGGTTGCAACAGGTACTGCATCTACTGGACTACTACTATGCGATTCATTGGATGGCGTCACTGGTGTGGCAGGTGTTGTTGTTGTTGTCGGTGTTGTCGTCGTTGTGACAGGTGATGATACCTCAGAATTGATTGAAGTAAGTTGTCTTGGAGGTGGCAGAGGAAAAGAAGGATAAACGAATTGTTGCTGCTGATGCTGTTGTTGTTGTTGGTTTGTAAAATAATACGGCTGTGTAATTTGTTGTTCATCATTGTGATTATTATTATTAATACTACTATCATTATTATTAGTAGTAGTATGAGTAGTATTATTATTACTCAATGTAGTTGTTGAATGATTATTATTCATAATAGGAAGAAAATAATTTGTATTCATTGTGTCCATTGGATTTGTGTCTGTCGTATTTGTGATTCTATGATTATTAGTAGTATGATTGTGATTATTTATAGTCCCAGTCCATGAAGTATTCAAATTGTTTAAACATTGTTGTTCAACTATTGATAATGGTGATATTTGTTGACCTGTGGTTGTTGTTTGTGAGTTAATCATAAGTGAGAGTCGTTTATTGGATTGCCATGCTGTTGTTGTTGTTGCTGTAGGATGATGGCTAACATCATCCGTTGATTGTTTGATAAACTATGAATTCACATTAAAATAAAAATTTAAAAAATCAATATTTTGAAAATTTAACATAAAAAAATAAATTTCATTTAAAGAATAAATAGATTGATGGGTAATAAAGAATTAGGAATTCGGTTACTGCCGCTCGTTCCACGACTGGATAAAGGAGGAGGTTAGTACGCATGAGGATTAGTGACCACATAGAAAGCTAATTCGCTAGAAAAGATGCTAATCAGAAATAATAATTCGCTAGTTGGTGTCCTGTCAGTAGTTATTTTAATAACTAACCAATCAAATTGTAGTTTAAGCGTTCATCACGTGATCTGATCTGATGTGTCTGTAAACTTTCTTTGTTGTAAATGACCTACTAATTGAAGGACATTATTATCTCATTATATTGATGTGACTCATAACTTTATTCATTTCCATGAGACGGTATGTTTGCTTGTTTCACTTGTGATAACTGTAATTTCCTTATTTATTGTACTAATCTAATTGTTTTTATGTTTAGAAACAGATAAATTTTAAAGCAAAAATTGATCTTGTTCTGACTATAGCTTTCACATAGACTCTGTGCTCGCCAATATTGCGTTTACAGTTCTAGAAGTAGCACATCTGTAGGACAAATTAAATCGTAAAGCCTATGCTTCATTAGGAGTAATAGGCGGAAGTAAGTAAGTAAGTAAGCAAATAAATTCCTATTTTGTTCGGAACTCGCCAAATGACTATTCCTGTATTCCAGCATTGATATCAACGGTAGAATTCGGACATGATATATTTTGCTTTCAGCGCTAATATATGTTACACCTACTAAAGTATTTGATATTCATGGAGGACCCAGCTAGGAGAGTTGAAAAACCTTGGTTTCAAACCAATGGTGCATATGGACTCCAGAATCATGAGGGAACACAAATGTCGAATGAACCTACTGTTGGTCATTAGTTACTAGGGAACTGCATCTCCTTAAGTTGTCTTATTATCTTCTGGATTAGACCTCTGGGTCAAGAGCTCAAGGAGTGGCACCCCAAGAAAACCACCGGCTTCATCAGTTTGGGCGTCTGGAGAGTATTCTAACACACTCACAAATTATGATGATCATTAAAGTGCCACTTTGTACCAATGTTTATGTGACTTGCTTCGTGAGGAAGTTTCTCCGAGTTCTAGTGAGAAGTCGTGACCAGCGGAGTTCAGTCCTGTTCGGGGTCTGAAGCAATGCTCACCGAAGTGGATGAGCTGGAATGATCCGACTTAGACATTACAATCATCATATACCGGGCTTAATGATCCAGAGATAGGTTAAGTGGTCACACTCAAGACCAAAGTTCCCAGGTTCTAATCCTGCTAGTTACAGGATTCTTGGCTTTCAGTAAGCTATGTCATTTCTCATTGAACCGATTGATAGTCGTTTCACATCCTTATACGAGACTCATCAGTGGCAAGTGCACATTCACGACTCATGCTACTCACAGGACCTTCGATGATTGATTCATAATGTCACAATCAACATCATTCTCTAATGACGTAGTTATACAATACAATACAATACAAATCGATTTACTTTATTATATTCAGCTGGTTGTTGTAGTTGCTGTTGCTGTTGTTGTATAAGTGGTAATTGCATATTAGATTGAATAGGTAAATTGATGCCATTTGTTTGATAGATATTATATAAATCAATACCATTATTATTACTATTATTAGTCATATTCATAGGATTAAATTGTGGAAATTGATTAGTAGAAGACATTCGATTCATTGTGGTATTTCCTCCTCCACCTGCAGTTCCGCCAATATTTTCAATTTGTGAACGTGGCAGAAACAGAAATCCTGTTGGTGTTGATTGATTGACAGTTGATGAATAAAATTGTTCATTATTATTGTTATGATGATTGATAGTATCATTAGGATGAATATGCATTCTTGTATGTAAATCATAAACTTGTTGTCCTCCAATACTTGATAATAAATTATTCAACTGTGGTGGTGGTGTATTATGAAAATTTGACATTGAATTCAATGTTAACGCAGATAATATTGGATAATTTGAATTATTATCAAATTTTGATATGATTGGACGATAATAATTTGATGATGGAAGATTAGTAGTAGTATTAGTATGAGTAGTATGAGTAGTATTATTATTATTCTCTAAACAATGAATTGATGTTCCATCTGAAAGATCTGATGGTGGCGGTGTAAAACCAAATATCGATGCACTGGCATATTCAGGACCTTGAAAATGGATCACAAAATGAAAATATATATGCATATAAGTTTAAATTGTTTTTAATTCTTGGAGTTCTACCGAGAGAAGTCATAACCGACCAATGTGGAGTTCAATCAGTCAGTCAGTCAGTTGCAACGTAGAACTTTGTACCTATGTACATAAGTTCAGGTTGTCGAATCAAATCCCATAGTGAAAAAGATAATAGAGTTATTAATGGTAATGAAGAAGACTAGGGTTTGAAGATATTATTCAAGAAGCATAATTCAGTGAAATAAGGTTAGAAAGACAAAGGTAGAGGTGTTGACGAATCCAGAAGTTTAGGAGTTGAGAGAGCACAACGAATGGATGCACTTGCGCCATTGCAAATGATTTTGAGCTATGTCGTTCAAGATCTCTAACCATTGGCTACTATTATCTCGCGAACCCTAACCAAGTAGGCTACATCTACCAACATGACTCAGTCCACTTTTCAGTGACTTCGTGGATTTCTGCTATGTTTTGGTTTGGCTGCCCCTAACTTTCTTCCGACCAACTCCTACACCACAAAACATAGCTCGTGGAGGCAGTCGGTGGTTAGGCATTCGTAACACATGTCCCAACCACCTCAACTGATGAAGTTTCAATACTTCATCTATTGATCTGCCATCCTTACCTAGTACTCGTTTCCTAACGACAGCATTGTTTACTCGGTTGTCCCAGGATATACGAGCAATGCTTCTAAGACATCTATGATCGAATACTAGTAACCTACGAACATCTTCTACTCTTAACGGCCATGGTCAATCATATCGGATATGAGACAGTTAGTTACATATTGTAGTGCCTCCACATATATTTGAGTTCGTTTACATTTAATTTGGTTGTTAAGCCTTTCGATTAATTTATTTAACCTAGCCATTTGTTTAACAATAACTTATTTGTACCATTGGCTTTTATCATAATTGTCTGGTTTGTATGAGCTGGTACGACTGAAAATTGCTTACGCCTAAACGCATATTCATGCCTATCTCGCTTTTTACATGTCCGTCTTACTTTCGTCTAACTAAAAATCATTAATCATGCTTTATCTCGAGGAGTTGGCTCACTAGCCTTCTCTCCTTCGCTTCATCCATTCATTCACCAATTCGCTGGCTTGCTTGTTTTCCGGCGTTCGAATGACGATTTTATCTCTGAGTGCTCATAGTCCGCTGATATAATTGTGATGTGCCAAAAATAAACGCATTCAACACTTCGAGTTCACTTTCTGATTTATAAACCGTCAGACGCTATTTATTAAGTAACGTTTGTCTGAACGAGCTAATTATGAAGCCTAAGGACACGTTGGAAACCAACCGCCACGAAAGTACTGATACATCGGTCACCACAATAAGTCAATGTAGTCAATGTAGGATAGTAGTCGTACACTATAAAGCTAGTGAACTAAGACAGATAGACAGATACAACGCAGAACTTCGTACGTAAGTACATCAGTTCATGTTTCCATACCACTTCAGCACAGAAACATAACTGTCAGTTCAAATCCAAGAGTGATAGTGATAGTAGGATTATTAGCGGGAATGGAGAAGATTCGAGAAGTATAACTCATTCAGATAAATTTAGAAGGAGAAAGATAGAGATTACGAGGAATTCGGAAGGTTAGAGTTAGAGAGAACACAGTGTGTGCACCTGTGCCATTGCAAACGATTCTGAGCCATGTCATTCAAAGTCCCTAATCATTGATTACTTTCGTCTCTCATGAACTAAACGTAGACATTAAAACCGATGAATGCAAACTGAATGGTGTAAAAAAGGGTTTGAAGTCTCCAAGGTTCGACTTGTGGATATGATAGTTATCAATGTGTATTGTTGAAGAGTCTTACAACTAGGCGAAAACAACTGTTTGCTATTGATAGATTTTCAATAGCAGTCTAACTAATAGCAGTGGATGATTTTAAATTGTTAGGAATTCTATAATCGTCACAAAAATCAACACTAATAATATTCATTTATCCAATATACATATCTATAATCTCAACAGATTTAAGCTACAGCCCTTATATATGCATGAACTATTCACACTATCTAGTAATTTAAAATGAAGTATGTGCTAGGTATTTGCATAAGTAATTGTAGTTATGCCATAACTAACCAATCAGATTGTAGTTTAAGCGTCCATCACGTGATCTGATCTGGCGTGTCTGTAAACTTTCTTCGTTGTAAATGACCTAATAATTGATGTGACTCATAGCTTGATTTATTTCCATAAGACATACTATTGGTCGGTATGTTTGCTCGTCTTACTTGATAATTGTAATTTCCTTATTTATTGTACTAATCTAATTGTTTTTATGTTTAGAAACAGATAAAGTTTAAAGCAAAATTAGTCTTGTTTTGACTATAGCTTTCCCATAGACTCTGTGTTCACCAATATCGCGTTTACAATTCTAGAAGTACATCTGTAGGACAAATTACATCCTACAGTATGTTCGATTTATGTTTAAAATGTGATATTTTGTAAACACTAATACACTGTTCTATAATTCTATGAAGTTATTACCTTAAAATCATGAATGAATCATTGTTAGACCACCATTAGAAACCTGAAAGCACTGGGAGGCCGTTTCATCCTCCTGGTACAGGGCTTATCAACAGTGCGCATCCACGACTTCTGCTACTCACAGGATTCGAACCCAGGGTCCTAAACAGGTACAAAGATGTTAAATTTTGGTCTCAATCTTAAAGAGTCGTACACACTAAGTGAAACAGTCGTTTAATGCCTTTATCATAAATTTTCAATCATAGCCATGATTCAAAACCACCACAAGACTGTGTAATGGAAAATTTAATTACTACACAAAAGCGCACATATTTGAAATCATCTAAGTTTTGTACACATAAATGATAAGGTGAACATTAGAAAAAAGTTGAATTCCATATTCATAACTTATTTCGCTAAATAAATACAATAAGAAAAATAAACTTTTGGGGAAAAAAAATTCACCAACCAATATTTTGATACTACTTAAACTATTGTAAGTAATATAAAACAAAAAAAGTGAAATATTTATGGCTGTAATTCACAAATCTAGCAATTACCGTAAATAAAACTGGTCAGATCTGTTAGAATTATGTGTAGAGAATCTGGATGATAATTATGTCTCATAACTAAAATAAATCATCGTTATGTCTAGTGATCTTTTTGAGAATGGAAAATGTTCCAGAACAAATATAATTCAATAAATAATAAAAATGAGGAAATGTACAAAATTACGCATCATAAATTACGATTGATAAGATAACAATAACATCTACCATAATAAGACGAAAAAGGTCAGTCAGTCAGTTACAACGTAGAACTTCGTACGTACGTTATCATACCACATTAACACAGAGAGATGAAAGTGTCAATTCATATCACATAGTAGTTCGGGTAATAGAAGTATTAGCAGTAATGGAGAAGATTAGAGTTTGGAGATGTTATTCAGAAATAAATTTAAAAACAACGAAAGATAAAGGTGATTAGAAACTCAGATTACAATTTGAAAGGACACAAAGAATGGATGCATCTGCGCTAATGCAAACGATTTTGAGTCATGTCATTCAATATTTCTAACCATCAGTGAATATCGTGTCGTGAATCCTAATCCGGTGGTCTACACCTACCAACATGACTCAATCCACTTGTCAATGACTTTATGGATTTATGACATGTTTTGGTTTGGCCACTCCTAGCTTTCGTGTAACCTATTTCTACATTGGAAAACATCGCTCGTCGAGGCAGTCCATGGTTAGGCATACGCAACACCTCAACTGATGAAATTTCAATACTTCATCTATTGATCTGCCATCCTAACAACAGCATCGCCTACTCGGCTGTCCCACGATACACGAGTAACGCTTCGGAGACACCTATGATCAAAAACTATTAATCTACGAATATTCCCAACTCTTAACGGCCATCTTTCGCATCCATATTAGTAGGACGGAGCGAACTGCTGCGCGGTACACTCGTCCTTCAGTTAGCAAACGAGGAGATCTCGCCTACGCTATAAGTGACGCAAGTTGACAAAAGTCAATCGAGCCTTTTGTATCTGAGCTGAGATTTCGTCAGTCACGACCACTAGGCTATCAGCATCGATGAAACTCCTAAGATAAGTGAAGCAGTCAACACGCTCAACTACTACTTCACTCCTTATCACTAGTTCAGCTGACCACAACACAAGCCAATCCCTGCAGCAAATAAAACGATAAAAAAAAAGACCATTGTAACTTACTCATTCCATTTAAACTAGTTAAATCACTTGGAATAAATGTAGTATTAGCCAATCGATTCATAGTATTCGTCGTTTGCATATACATACTTGTCGGTTGTCCAATAAATTGAGGATGCTGCTGTTGATCATTTCCACCATTCATAACAATACCATTATTCTGTGGCATACCACCAGACATAAATAAACCAGTTGGCAATGAAGGAAGTGGAGCAGGGTGAGTAGGAGGAGGAGGAAGAGGAAGTAATGATTGACCAATAATAGTTGAATAATCTAATTTGTTTAAATCACCAACTCCAACATGATTGGTACATATCGAATTGTTATTATTATTGAAAAATCCATTATTATTACTAATACTATTATTTACAAGGATTGAATTGTTGTCTGTAGTTAAATTATTAGTATGATTCATAGTATATTGTAATATACTCGTTGGATGATGTAGAACAGCAGCATTTACGCCCCCGCCGCCACATCCGGCAGCAGCAGTACTACTATTGCCAATATTTCCACCATTATTACTATTATTAGTAGTATGTACATAATTATTGGTTGTAGTATTAGTAGTAGTAGTAGTAGTTGCTGGTGTTATTCTACTGTTCGGTGATAATGTAGGAGGAGGTAGTGTTGGTGGTAATGAGTGTTGTTGTTGTTGTTGTAAAAGTTTCACAGTTTCTGGATTATTATTCATTGTCAACAAACTGTTCACTACTGAATGAGGATACAATGTTGAAGGTTGTTGTTGATGATGAGGCGGTGTACCACCAGTGATTAAAGAGATGGGTGAATAAAATCCACCCGATGGATTTGTTGAAGAAATTGGATTAGTTTCAATGTTCAATTGTTTACAACATTGATGATGATGTGGATGTTTCAAATGGAAATAATGTTTACAACGTTTATGTGCAATGATGATGAAAGCGAATAAAATGAATAAAGATAATATGGCACCAAGTATATAAGATACAATAATAATAATTTGTGATAAGTGTGTTGTTGTTGTGGATGATCCTGACGAAGCTGACAGTGATGATGATGAGCTTGACGCTGACGCTGACGCGGATGCTGATGATGATTTAGAATGGTAATTTCCATTTCTATCATGATTTTGTTCATCATGATTAGCTGAACGAATTTCATGACTTGATATAAGTAATTTCTCATTATGAATAGGATTGATTAGCGGTTTATTAACTGGAAAGGAGAAAAAAAGAAAAGAAGTGTTATGTAACAACACTTGACATACATACACACATATATACGATTGATTTTGAAAAAAGAAGTAAGATCTAAACTGTTTACAATCGTTAAGTTTGTAGAGAGCACGTAGAACGTCGTATGTACGTTCGCACATCAGTTCAGGTTGCCATACTACATTAGCACAGAGATGCAATTGTCAATTCCAACCCCCATAGTAGTAGAGGTAGAGTAGAAGTATTAGCAGTAATCGCAGAGATTAGGGTTCGAAGATACTATTATTCAAGAAGTAGAATCTAGTGAAATAAACTTAAAAAGAAAAAAGATAAAGGTAATGAGGAATCAAGAAGTACAGGATGAGTTAGAAAACCCTTACTCAAAACCATTGGTGAACATGAGCTCCAGGATGCTGACGGAACGAATGACGTATCAGCCTGTTATTGGTCTGTTAGGATATTTACCCAACATCCTACGAGAATTATTTTTGGAAGTCTAATTCTATTGGTCAACTTCCTACTGGTCAATTTTATGGTCGTCCTAGATATCAATGTCCCGTGCTCCAACGTTGTTTATTATTGGTTGTCCTGACTATCAATATCACTTCAAATGTTGCTTCTTATTGATCGCCTTAACTATCAATGTCACAGACTTCGATGCTGTTTCCTATTCGACCAAACTGTATAAATACGCATTATCTGTAACGTTTTATCGCCCGAACCTGAAACTGGATCCCTAGTCCGGGATCCTGATTCTCTTCTGGACTCGGACCTCGTACTTTCTGGATGCTTGTAGAATACATGTTTTACTTCATATCAAGTCTTCTTATTTTTACTCAATATGGGGGTTGGGATAATCGGATTTGAGTAGCATGTCGTGTCGCCGGATCCTCGATCCTCGCTCTCGTTTTCCGACTAGGTAAACTCGTAATAGTTCAAGCATATCAAGTTGACGTGTTTACGTGCAGGCGTAACATGGTCACCGACCACCAAGAAGACTGCGTTTTCTTGTGTTGTTCCACTGCCTTGTGGACTAAACTTTTCGGACAAAGGCTCACAATCTGACCCCCCGAAGAAAACCACTTATTTCAGTTTCAATGTCAGAACAATATCCCATTTGATGGTTAGAGACCTTGAATGACATGGCTCAAAACCGTTTGCAATGGCGCAGGTGCATTCATTCTTTGTGTCTTCTCAAATCCTATCCTTCTGAATTCCTCACCGCCTTCATCTTTTTCTTTTTAAGTTTATCTCACTAGATGATACTCCTTGAATAATATCGTCAAACCCTTAAATTTCCGATAACTGACAATACTTTTACTACCTTTACTACTATGGAATTTGAAGTGACAATTACATCTCTGTGCTAATGTGATATAGCAACTTGGACTGATGTACGTACGTACGTACAAAGTTCTATGTTGTAACTGATTGACTGATCGACAATATCCCATTCCATTCACAAATTCAATAATGTGTGATACCCCTTTACACCAAAATTTAATTTTTTTTAAATAAATCAATAAAATAATAACTGTGAATAGTAAACACCTGTGCTTTATTCATGTCAACGTTATTCTCACAACACTTGATCGATAAATGTAACACCATGGCTGAAAGTAATATCAGTAGGAAATACTGTTTGATCTGACCTTCATGGTATTTGGTACCCACCATCCCCATGGCATACCGACAATACTTTCCTGATGAATTTGAATCTCAACCACCTAGATTCACAAAATCTCAGATGTGATGTGGATTCGAATCCACCATAGAGCAACCAACCCTTCAAGATTGTGAATATTCATTCATAATGAAACAAAATACCTTGTTTTTAGTTAAACACGTTTTTCAATTTTTTGCTTTGTTCAAAATTAAATATATTAGTTTAAACATGGTTGGTGTACACATGTGTGTGTACACATGACACATGTTTTTGTATCATTAAGGTATTATACACTTTCTCAACTAAAAAATATTCACACACACAATGATAATGTGTGTGTGGATATCCTTATTGGCAAGTTTCTCGCCTAATTTATCCAGAGAATAGGCTTTCTCATTTTTTGATCGATCTATCTGTCTGTCTTATTTACTACAACATTCTCTTTCATTTTAAATGAGAAAAAAAACAACCCTTGGCAAAAAAAAATACAAGTGTGTGTGTGTGTAGTGAAATCTAGAAAAGATCTAATTAAAATAAACACAAAAAAGTACAGTTGTGGGTTGTCGTAATGATTATTAGGAAAGGAAAAAAGAAAATAGTTGGGAAAAAAAAATACAGACACACATTTTGTTAGAGGAAAAGTAAAGTAATACAGAGATTTGATAGAACGATATGGTCAATAAGATTTAGTTGAGATCAACACATTTCATGTATATTAATGGTGAGCTTGGACTGATCAAAGTTAGGTATGTTAGGTTGGTCATGAAGTATGCTTGAAACTATTACGTGTTCACTTTAGTCGATAAACGAGAACGAGACAATAAACCAGCGTCCAGGTAGGCTACTCTGATCCACAGGAACTAACGAAAAATATCTTGATATAGCGTAGAAATTATATTCTACAAACACTCAGCAATCACAATGCAATCAAGCACACAACTCTCGTTTATTTATACATTATAGAAACGTCCTTGAAAGTGTCACAAAGATAGTACACTAGAATACACAGCATCCAATCACAGCGAAAGATTTCCCTGGTGGGAAATGAAACCTCAAGGTCAACTGATCAGCCCATGCTCGCAAACATGAAATCCAAACTTAAGGCATTTATCAAGCGAATTCTGGGGATCTAACGTCCACAACAAGACATTTACACCGTTGGATGACAGCCGACTCAGTGGTCAAGAGTTTAAGCGTTTATGCTCGAGACCGGGGGTCCTGGGTTCGATTTTCCATGTGTGAGGGTTGCGAACGCTCAGTGACACTGATGAGTACCATACTGGGACGAAACGGCCGTCCAGTGCTTTTACGTTCTTAATAGTGGACTACCATTGATCGATTCATGATTTCAATGAAACTCAACAATCTCCACAACCACCCTATAATGAAATATTATTAATCAGCTGTATCATCTATGAACAGTCTAGTACTGAATGACGGAAAATAAGTCGATGCATATATAAACTGCAATAAGAATCAATGTTAACTCTTCAAAACCATCCAATTCTCAGTAATTATCATTTCAAGTTAAATTGTAATCAATCTTATCAAGTAACTCTAATCATATATCCTAACTAAGAGATGAACTTCTTGGTATAACAGATCAAATATATAATAGTCTATGATCGATCAAACTTAGATCATAGTAGTAATAAAAGACATGTATACTATAAATGTTTAGTGAATAGTATTTCCAAATCATATATAGTGGAATGTATACATTGAATAATGATGAGGTCAGATATCGAGCATGAGATAACAAGAAAAAGAAGCAAGATGCGAATCAATGGATGAGATGATGAACATTCGTCGATTGAACTAGTTATGACATGTTTTACGGATTCCTAACTATTGACTACTCCGCAGTAGATCGCTCCGTCCTACTATATGGCTTTGAAACATGGCCAGTCGAAGTAGAAGACGTTCGTAGGTCATTGGTTTTCGATCATAGGTGTCTCCGAAGTATTAATCGTGCATTCAGGGACAACCAAGTAAGCAGTGCTATAGTTAGGAAACGGGTCCTAAGTAAGGATGGCAAATCAATAGATGAAGTATTGAAACTTCATTAGTTGAGATGGTTAGGACCAACGACTGCCTCGACGAGCTGTTTGTGATGTAGGAGTAGGTCGAAAGAAATCTAGGGGCGGCCAAAACAAATCATGGCAGAAATTGATAAAGTCATTGACAAGTGGATTGAGTCATGTTGGTAGGTGTAGACCACCGGATTAGGATTCACGACACGATATTCACTGATGGTTAGAAATATTGAATGACATGACTCAAAATCGTTTGCAATGTCGCAGGTGCATTCATTCGTTGTAGTTTCTCAAATCCTAACCTTCGGAGTTCCTCATCACCTTTATCTCTTTCTTTTTATGTTAATTTCACTAGATTCTACTTCTTGAATAATATCCCCAAACCTTAATCTCTCTGATTACTGCTAATACTTCTACTACTACGAGATTTGAAGTGACACTTACATCTGTCTGTGTTAATGTGGTATGTCAACTTGAACTGATGTACGTGTGTTCGTACATACGAAGTTCTACGTTGTAACTGACTGACTGATCGATTCACATTGTGAGTGGACACATGAGGGTAGATTATTGGTAAATATTCAGAGTACTGTAACCTGATACATATAAATCAATACATGAGATTAAACACTATTTACACTTAGCCATATCAGTAGTTATCAGACTACCCGACTTGACGCGAATGAACACATCAGAACCGTGTACTCACATCCCATTTCAAAAGTCAAATAATAGATTTTTAAAAATAATCGATAAGGCGTCCCATTGGAAGCTTGTGATTCAGAAATCCCTATACATGTCCCTTTGCACGTTTACATAATAGGCTTGGTATAACAAAAGAAAGATCTCGCATAACAGGGAGCCCAAATATGAAATGTGTGTGTGTGTGTGTGTGTCAATTCTTGTATGAATAATGCTAGCTAGATTAAATGACTGAAATGACTTAATAAGTAGTATAGTCTCATGAATCCAAATTTTCTAATTATTTGAAAAAACCATTGAAATCCATGTAGTATTGTAAATGAGTTTAGCTGACATACACACACACACACACACACACTGAAATTTTTTATTCATGAAACTATACATATGTATATTACTTTTTCAAAGACAAAATCTATCTATTACAAACAACTCACTCCATCATCATAGAGAAACAGTTCTATAATAATAATAATAACATGTGTAAAACTTGGAAATATGTACATGTACATGTATACACAGTAATGACACATGTTGTGTTTTGAATAAATGTTTATCTCACCAATAATAAAGATAAACCATGAAGAGATATTTTTA